TGCTCTTGCATTTTTCTCTGCATCTCTGTCAGCATGTTCATGATTTTTATTTTGAATTCTTTTTCAGGAGGACTGGTTAGGTCTGTCTCCTTCTCAGGTGTTGTCTCTGTGATCTTTGTCTGCCTGTAGTTTTGTCTTTTCATGGTGATAGAGATAGTGTGCAGAGCTGGTACAAGTGACTGCTGGAAGAGCTTCCCTTCTTGTTGGTTTGTGGCCTTCCACAAGGCGCTGGGTTCTTGCAGGTGTGGATGTGGTCTGGATGTTGTTCTGTGTCCTGTGGTCTCTATTTTAGGAAGATTTTTCTTTGTTATATTTTCATAGCTCTATGTGTTTTTGGGAGGAGATTTCCACTGCTGTGCTCACGCCGCCATCTTGGCTCCGCCCAGCTTTTTTTTTTTAATACAACATCCTAAAGAGTGTTTCTCAAAACACTTTTAATTAGTGAATTACAGTATGTCTTCTGACCACATGCAGCAAATCACCTCACATACGACCCATCGGGGTCCGCCGCCATCTTCGAGCCGGATGTCTTTATTTTGGTCTTATTTAATTTCTTTCCACAATGTTTCAGTATGTAATTTTTAGTTCCTTGATTAAGTTACTACTAAGTATTTTATTCTTTTTGATGCTATTGTAAATGGAGTTTTAAAAACTAATTTCAATTTTGGATTGTTCATTGCTAGTGTATATTAATTTTACATCTGTACCTTTGCTGGACTTGTTTATTACCTGTTACAGGTTTTTGAGGATTACTCAAAGTTTTCTATATGTTAAGATCATGTCATCTGCAAATAGAGTTGTACTTCTTCCATTCCAGTTTGAATACCGTTTATTTCCTTCTCTTGCCTATTTGGCCTGAAAGTGTAGAACTTCCAATATAGTGTTGAATAGAAGTGGCAAGAGGTTTTATATCCTTGTTGCTGCTTCTGATCTTAGGGAGAAAGTTTTCAGTCTTTCATCATTAGTAACATTAGCTGTGAATTTTTTCATAGGTGCACCATTATTAGGTCAAGGAAATTCCCTTCTACTCCTAGTTTATTGAGTGTTTTTGTCAGGAAAGGATGTTGGATTTTTATCAAATGCTTTTTATATGTCAACTGAGATGATCATGTGGCTTTTCCCCTTCATTTTATTAATATAGTTATGGTAGATTGATTTTTGTATGTTGAACTACTGTAGCATTCCTGGTCACCAAATCTACTGGGTCACATGTATGATCCTTTTAATATACTGCTGTATTTGGTTTGCTACTATTTGCAAAGGATTTTTGCATCTGTGTTCATAAGGGATATTGGTCTGTAGTTTTCTTGTGATATCTTTTTTTTTTCTTTGGTATCAGGATAATAGTGGCCTCACAATTGAATTAAGAAATGTTCCCTCCTCTTCTATTTTTTGGGAGAATTTGAGAAGGTTTGGTGTTAATTCTTCTTTAAACATTTGGTAAAGTTCACCAGTGAAGCTGTTTGGTCCTGGAATTTTCTTTGTTGCAAGTTTTTTTGTTATTGGTTCAGTCTCTAGTTGTTATAGGTGTATTCAGATTTTCTATTTCTTCTTGAATCAGTTTTGGTGTTTGTATCTTTCTCTAGAAATTTGTTCATTGCATCTAATTTATTTAATTTGTTGGTATACAACTGTTCATAGTATTCTTGTGTGTCTTTATTTCCTTGAGGTTGTTAGTTAAGTCCCTGCTTTCATTCTTGATTTTGTCATTTGAGTCTTCTCTCTTTTTCACCTTGGTCAGTCTGGCTAATAATTTGTTAATTTCCTTGATCTTTTCAAACCAACTTTTAGTTTCATTGATTCTATTGTTTTCCTGTTCTGTTTTGTTTATCTTCACTCTTATCTTTATTATCTCCTTGCCTCTGTTAGCTTTAGGTTACATATACTTTTTTTTAGTTTCTTGAGGCATAAGTTCATTTATTGATTTGAGATTTTGTTAATGTATGTCTTTATAGCTTAAATTTCCTTTGAGCCCTGAATCCCAGAGGTTTTCATTTCACTGCATCCCATAAATTTTAGTGTGCTAGGTTTTTGTTCATCTCCAAGTATTTTCTAATTTTCCTTGTGATTTATTCTTTGATCAGTTATTTAAGTTATTTAAGTGTGTTAATTTCCATATATTTGTGAATTTTCCAGATTTCCTTCTATTGTTGATTTTTTATTTTATTTCATGTGGTCAGAGAAGATAATTTGTATGATTTCAATCATTTAAAATTTATTGAGCGTTATTCTGTGGTCTAACATAGGAACTATCCTGGAAGATGTTCCATGTGCACTTGAGAGCATATGTATTCTGCTATAGATGACTATTAGAGCTGGTTGGTTTACAGTTTTGTTCAAGTCTTCTATTTTTTTGCTGATCTTCTATTTAGTTTACCCATTATTGAAAGTATTGAACTTTGAAATGGTTATTGTTGAGCTATTTCTGTTCTCAATTCTGTCAGTTTTTGCTTCAGATACTTTGGGGTTCTACATTTATAATGTTGTATCTTCTTGCTGAATTTACCCTTTTATCAGTATATAATGTCCTTCTTTGTGTCTTGTAACAGTTTTTGACTTAAAGTCTATTTTGTCTGATGACTAGTATAGTCATTGACTATATGTATTGACTAGTCATTGACTAGTATAGTCATTCCAGATCTCTTTTGATTACTGTTTGTATGTAATGTCTTTTTTCTATACTTTTACTTTCAACCTACTTGCATGTTCAATCTAAATTAAGTCTCTTGAAGATAGCGTACAGTTGGATCATGTGTTTTTGAAAATCTATTCTGCCAATCTCTGCCTTTTAATGGAAGAGCTTAATCCTTTTATCTTTAATATAATTATGGATTAGTAAGGATTTACTTCTATTTTGCTATTTTTTTCTACATGTCTTACATCTTTTTGTTCTTCAGTTCCTCCATTACTGTTTCTTTTGTGTTAATTACATATTTTCAGGTATACCCTTGTTTATTTCACTATGTATTTTTGAGTTATTTTCTTTGTGGTTCCCCTTCTCCCAGTGATTCTTACACAGATAGTTCAACCCTTTGGAATCACCAACTAAAGGCTATTGATTCTGAATCTTTTTGTAAAGATGAAAACCTTTCTACAGTGTGAGTAACTACTACCTACTGTAGCTGTTGTAGTCTGAAATTAGTTTGTCATACATTATTTTTTCTAGGAGTGTGGTACACATTACATGTAGTACACGTCAGGGAGAAGATAAGCCAGGATATGGCCATTCAGGAAAGAAGAGCCAGAAATGAAGCCCTTCCTGTAGTGGGCAGTGGGTGTGTGTGTGTACAGTACCATGGTGTGTCTTTTTCAGCTCATCCTTGGGATCCCAGAACAGGCCTTAAGTCTTCTCCACATGGCCATCGAGCCCATCTTGGCTGATGGGGCTGTCCTGGACAAAGGCCGTGCCATGTTCTTGGTGGCAAAGTGCCAGGTGGCTTCAGCAGCTTCTTACGATCCACCAAAGAAAGCGGAAGGTAGGAAGTCATACAAAGATTGTTAGGCAATTCTATTGTAGAAAGCTTCGAAAATTTAGGATGCAGAAGAAGCAAAGACATTAAATTTGGAACAGTATTTAAGTTCTGAGTGTTCACAAATATATGTTAAAATTTTATGCAGCATTTAAAGTGCTTTCCCATCTGTGCTTGGCATGAAGGTTGAGGGAAAGTGAATTGTTATTTTGACCCTATAGAACCAGGCACCAGGCTGGATACCAGGACTAAAGACTGTTTTAAAAACCTCACCCTAGTGGGGTTTTTTTTTAGTCTCAAAGAGTAGAATATAAAAGTATCTGGTACATGTTAAATCAATAAAAGAAGATATTAAGTTTTAAAAACTATATATGAAGTGTTTAGTTAAACGTGTGGTATTTCCCTACTTTCCATCAGCTCTGGAGGCCGCCATTGAGAACCTCAGTGAAGCCAAGAACTATTTTGCAAAAGTTGACTGCAAAGAGCAAATCAGAGATGTCGTTTACTTTCAGGCCAGACTCTACCACACCTTGGGGAAGACCCAGGAGAGGAACCGGTGTGCAATGCTCTTCCGGCAGTTGCATCAGGAGCTGCCCTCTCATGGGGTGCCCTTGGTAAATCACCTCTAGTGAGAACCTCCCTGCTGGGCCACTGTGCAGAATATAAGTTCTGGGGGCTTGTTCACATCCCCTCCTCCACATAAATTATGTATTTGATGTCTGTCATATCAATAAACTGCATTCTGATTAGTTTGTCTTATTTTGTTGGAATATACATATTTATTTTGTTCTTCCTTTTGATAGCAAAGGACATCAAATTTTTGTTAATAAATGGCTATTTTTATTAATAAATTAGTGCAAGTGTTAAAGATATATGTTCTCCCTGGTAAAATTGCCAATATCTTACTAAAATTTGCATACACTCTCCATCATTGTGTGAATTTATTTAACACTTAATGCTCAGACAAGAGCTTTTTGGGTATCAGTGGATCTCTCTAGAGGATCAGTGCTTGTTTTTCTGAGGCTTAGATTTTTCCTTCTAAAGCTGCTCTGTTTTGTTGGACTGAATTGGTGCTGTGGTGGGTCTGTGTGTGTTTGCAAGCATATGTTAGTCCTCAACTGGAGATTAAGAAGTAAAAGATCTTTCTATGGTTTTTGAACCAATGACAAGAAGCGTATTTCAATCACATTCTGGGTGTTGGCTTTCTTATATCTTCCACATGGGTATACATTTTTTCTATATTTAACTATATAAATGATGGATGATAATTTAAGTCTAGGAATTTATCATGAATAAGGTGATTATAAGTTAAGAAGGAGTCTGAAGCTCAGAGATGTGTGGATGCTATAACTCAAACAGTGTATCTAATTTACATATCTTAACCCTGCAATTAAGAAGAACCAGTTATTGCTTTTTCTGTTCATGAATTTATCTTACCCTTGAGTGTTGAAAAAGCATCATGTTTCAAGTTCAAAACAGCAACAAGGAACCAACCAAATCTTGCAGCCTCTGTCATTGGCCCTTTCTCCATTAAATTTAAACCTTCTGATGGGAATTAATTTATCTCCAGAGCTCTCTGAAACAGTGTAAAACAACTCCCACTCATAGGGTGCACTTGCTTGCCAAAGACAGCTGCTTTGGAAATAAGAGACTCAGTGTAGAGATAGAGATACTAATTGGTATGTTGATATTTACAAATCTTTCCTTAAATATATTTGAAAAGTTATATATATAGATGGCAAAAATTAAATAGCTGTATAGTAAAAAGTATAGTATCTTACATAAAAGCTATATATTAAAAGCAATTCTTCCAGGAAGTAACCACTATTACCAGTTTCTTTTTATTCCAAATAAATTCTCTTATCTGATGTCATTTTTGTTCAGTGTTTTTAAACTAACATTATTCCAATCTAGGAAGTGAACTTAATCACTCTGCCTCAGCATAAGGTCCAAGAGATGAGGCAAGATGCTCAGCTGCCCACCCTGCCCCGGTATCCACATTAAAGACCAGAAATCATCAAACCTGACCAGGATGGTACATCATATGTCAGGCCTGGTGCAAAGTAAAAATATGAGACCTGTATTAAGTGGAGCATTAAACCAGGGAGGGGGCCCCTTCTTAAGCACAGAGCCCTGTGGAACTTGACAGTTGGCCTGCCTGTGAAGCCAGTCTGCCCCATCCGGCAGGACCGAGTCCACGGCTAATAGAGTCTGGGACCCCCTGCCATCTGTGACTTAGATTTGTTGCCTGGAACCCAATTCCTCCAGGAAGGAATAGCGGGTTACATGAAAAGTTTAAACCATCAGACTGACCCCCAAACTCAGAACTTTTGAGGTTACAGCTAATTGGCTTTTTCCCTGGAGGAGCATTTGGTGGGGAGGGAAGAGCTAGACATGTAATTATGAGTGGTTTAACATAGGGGTGTAACAACTGATGATTTGGTAAAACGGGGAAGGGTTTGGTAAGGAGGGAATTGCAGCTAAGTAGCCAATGGGCAGTCAGATCTAAACCAGAGACTTTAGGATATATCCTTAAAGGGGAAGAGAAGAAAGGTGTGACTGAGCCAGTGGGTTGGCATGGTGGGAACTCTACCTAGCAGGTTTGGTATTATTTCCAGCCCCAAGGCAGCTGTGAATGAAAAGCTTAACACAAACTGCCTTGTAAATTATTTATGTATATCAACACATTTAATCCTCACAACAATCTTAAGAGGTAGGCAATAGCATCAGTTCCATTTAACAGATGTAGAAACTGAGGCCCAGGAGGTTAAATCACTCGCTCACCCAAGGGCACACAGCTGGTATATTGCAGAGCCAGGAATACAACCGGGTTGTTGCATTAACCTAGAGCTGTCTGCTTCCAGAGTTTTGAAAAACTGTAGGCTTTTTGTGAACATTAATTTTTCAGTTTGTTCAACACATAATTGATAATAATCAGTTGTCATTTATCTAGTACCCAATATAGACCAGGCACTGCTAATACTGTCACACATGCCATCTCTAATGCTTATAAGCCAAATACAATTTTATGGGTGAGGAAACAGCCCCAGAGATTTGGCCTGACCCAGCCCCTCACTAGTAAGAATCAGTCAGGATTCAGTCCGGGTGTGATAGGCTCCTCAACTCTTCTCTTTCATTCATCACTACCACCCTTCTCTTTCATCCACTGCACTGCCTTTGTGTTTGTCTACACACCTTGACTACTTCTGCCTCTGCTTGCTCAGAGTGTTTTAAATTTTGTCCTGATGTTTTTGGGTGGTTGCACTGGTTTTTATCTTTCCCGTAGTACATCTAAGATAAATGAACTTTTTTTTCTGAGAAAAAAAACATTGGAGAAAATAGTAAAATATAGAAAAATACAGAACTATGCATCCAACATTCAGAACTGACTTAACATTTTGCCATTTGCTTCAAGTCCATTTATGAGTAAAAGGCTTATAAAACTTAACATGATGAACTAGCAGAAAGAGAAATCAGGAGAACAATTTCATTCACAATTGCATCAAAAAGAATAAAATACCTAGGAATAAACTTAACCAAGGAAGTGAAAGACCTATACCCTGAAAACTACAAGACACTCTTAAGAGACATTAAAGAGGACACTAATAAATGGAAATTTGTCCCATGCTCTTGGGTAGGAAGAATTAATATTGTCAAAATGGCCATCCTGCCTAAAGCTATCTACAGATTCAATGCAATCCCAATCAAAATACTGAAAGAATTCTTCAATGAACTAGAGCAAATAGTTCTAAAATTCATATGGAACCACAAAAGACCCCAAATCGCCAAAGCAATCCTGAGAAGGAAGAATAAAGCAGGGGGATCTCACTTCCCAACTTCAAGCTCTACTACAAAGCCACAGTAATCAAGACAATTTGGTACTGGCACAAGAACAGACCCATAAACCAGTGGAACAGAATAGAGACTCCAACCATTAATCCAAACATATGTGCTCAATTAATATACAATAAAGGAGCCACGGATATACAGTGGGGAAATGACAGCCTCTTCAACAGCTGGTGTTGGCAAAACCAGATAGCTACATGTAAGAGAATGAAACTGGATTACTGTCTAACTCCATACACAAAAATAAACTCAAAATGGATCAAAGACCTGAATGTTAAGTCATGAAACCATAAAACTCTTATAAAAAAACATAGGCAAAATGCTCTTGAATATAAACATGAACAACTTCTTCATGAAGGTATCTCCATGGGCAAGGGAAACAAAAGCAAAAATGAACAAGTGGGACTCATTCAAGCTGAAAAGCTGTACAGCAAAGGACACCATCAGTAGAACAAAAAGGCATCCTACAGTATGGGAGAATATATTCATAAATGACATATCCAATAAAGGGTTGACATCCAAAGTATACAAAGAGCTCACACACCTCAACAACCAAAAAGCAAATAACCTGATTAAAAAATGGGCAGATGATCTGAGCAGACACTTCTCCAAAGAAGAAATTCAGATGGCCAACAGGCACATGAAAAGATGCTCCACATTGCTAATCATCAGAGAAATGCAAATTAAAACCACAATGAGATAGCACCTTACACCACACCTTACCACTTCACAAAAGACAAACAACAAATGTTGGCAAGGATGTGGAGAATGGGGAACCATCCTACACTGTTGGTGGGAATGTAAATTAGTTCAACCATTGCGGAAAGCAGTATGGAGGTTCCTCAAAATCTCAAAATAGAAGTACCATTTGACCCAAGAATTCCACTCTTATTAATTTACCAGAAGAAAACAAGATCACAGATTCAAAAAGACATATGCACCCCTATGTTTATTGCAGCACTATTTACAACAGCCAAGAAATGGAAGCAACCTAAGTGTCCATCAGTAGATGAATGGATAAAAAAGATGTGGTACATATACACAGTGGAATGTTATTCAGCCATAAGAAGAAAACAAATCCTACCATTTGCTGCAACATGGATGGAGCTAGAGGGTATTAATGCTCAGTGAAATAAACCAGGTGGAGAAAGACAAATATCAAATGATTTCAATCATCTGTGGAGTATAAGAACAAAGCACAAACTGAAGGAACAAAACAGCAGCAGACTCACAGAACCCAAGAATGGACTAAGAGTTACCAAAGGGAAAGGGACTGGGGAGGATGGGTGGGAAAGGAGGGATAAGGGGAAAAAGGGACATATGATTAGCACACATAATGTGTGTATGGGGGTACAGGGAAGGCAGTACAACACAGAGAAGACAAGTAGTGATTCTATAGCATCTTACTATGCTAATGGACAGTGACTGTAATGAGGTATGTGATGGGGAGTTGATAATGGGGGGAATCTAGTAACCACAATGTTGTTCATGTAACTATATTAATGATACAAAAAAAAAGATTAAAATGGTAAATTAAAAAAAACCCAGAAACTTAATAACATTCTTATGCTCGCCATCTTACCCTCTGTCCCTACTTCCTTCTTTATGGTGGACTGTCAGGAATTTAATTTGCACTCATCCTTTCTTTTAAAACATTTATGTGTAAGTATGTGTCCATGAATAATATAGAATGTGTGGGGTTTTACAATACACACAAATTGTGCATCATCCTGTATTCTGCGTTGCTCTTTTACTCAGCATGTTTTTGGAATCTCTAGAGATCCCTTGGGTAGAGATCTCTACAAGTAGATCTAATGCACACCTTTGAATTATTGCATAGTATTCCATCAAGTGACTAACACATTTCATTTATCCATACTCCTGGTGTTCCCAGGCTTTGACTATTACTAACAATGCGTGCATGTTGAATATCCACCGAAGGAGTGGTCATATTGGAATGCTCTGAATTGTTCGTGCACGCCCCTGCAGCATGGAAATACCAGAAGAGCTAAATAGGGGACTGGAATCCCTCCCAGTTGACAAGAAGACTCTGAACCTTTAATTAATTTGGCCTTTGACTCCCCTCTCAACTTCTGATTCCCCTTTAGCTGCTTGGCAAGGTACTTTGGTTCGGGACTGGGTTTCGCAACCACCCAAGGACTGCGAATCAGGCAGCCATTGAGGCGCTCCCGCCCCCCACCCCGCCCAGTGCAGTTACTCAGCTGGCAGACAACACACTCTTAAGGCTCCAGCAAAGAAGGGTGCCTTTTAAAAGGGCAGGATGTTTCGGAAGAATGTTTTTCTTCACAAATACATCTAAGTAGTCTTAGGGTAAAGCCAGAACTTCATTGGGTTTGTGTAGTTCGGTACATCCGGGTGGAGGGGAGGTGGGAAAGGAACCCCGTCTCCCTTCCTTTAGGGCGGGCTCTTATCTGCGGTCAGTGGGGAGGCGGCGGCGTAAGGGGGTTTCCCCGAATGGGGATGACCTGAAATCCAGGCCGCTTCCACCTCTGGGGGCCCGGGCTGGGACGGGAGCGGGGCCGGGACTCCGGGTGTCCCGCGGGTATGGGAAACTTCCCGCCCCTCAGCCGCCACCCTGCAGTCCCCGCGTTTGGCTAAACAAAGCGAGCGCTGCCAGCGCGTCCGGCCTGCCGGGGGTAGGGTGCCGTGGAGGGGGTGGCGGGGTGCCGCGGCCGCTGCGGGGAGAACCGAGGCAGGTACGCACCGCGGGGCGGGGGCAAAGTTGCAGCGCAGCCTTCCGCGCTCGCGCGCGCGCTTTTAGTCGCTCGCCTCGTTGCGGGTCCGCAGCCTCCTCCGACCCCCTCCGGGCCAGGCCTCACTTCCCCTCCCCGCCGCCGCCTCCTCTCTTTTCCTCTTCCCCTCCTCCTCGCTGCTACTAGGGTCCCCGCCGGCTGCAGCCTGTCTCCGGTCTCCCCGTGCGCGGCCGAGCCGGCGGGGGCGAGCCACAAACGGCCCGCCGGCGACTCGGCGCCGGGTCTCAGGGCCGCGGCCAATCTGCGCGCAGCCCGCGGCCGCGTAGCGCCGGAGCCCAGCTGGGCGGCTCCTCCCTCCCCGCCCCGCCCCCGCCCCCGCCCCCGCCCCCGCCCCCGCGCGCCCGCCGGGGCCGCGGACAGGAGTGCGCGGCCGCGACAAGCCTAGCGAAGCCGAGCCAGGGGCGCAGAGCGCGGGAGGCTGCGGCGGCGCGGAGCCCAGGTGAGCTGGAGGGAGCCGGGCCGCGGGTGAAGACGCAGCCTCGGCGCCCTCGCCCTCTTGGGGCGGGCACCGCTAACGGGACTGCAGACAAAGCCCTGAGGCCGGCCCCAGGCTCCCTCTACTGAGGGGTCCCCACGTGCGCCTCCCCACGCCCCGCCACGTGGGGGACCCGGCCCCCTGCTCCTCTGTTCCCACGGCCTCAGCTCCCGCAGCCTCGGGGGATGAGGGGGAGTGTTCCTCGGCTGGGCCGCTCCCGCTCCGGGGCGGCAAGGGCGGACCCGGAGTTTGGAGCCGTTGTCACCGGACCCGGGGCAGTCAGGGGTCTTGGACGCGGCCTAGGCCCACCCCCTCGCATTTGACAGGTAAGGAAGCTGGAGAGCGCAGGGGAGGAGAGGACAACGGACTTTGAGAGGCCAACCCCACCCCCGCAAACCCAGGCCCTGGTGGGTGGCGGCAGGGCTCTGGAGCAGCAGTTATGGGGCTGGGGGCCTTTGCTTCTCCGCAGAGGGCCCTTTGACCCTGATCCCCGTCTCGCAGCCGGAACTTACAGGCTTGGTCGTTTTGACCTAAATTCACCTGGGGCCGCAGCACGCTACGAATGCAGAGGTGCCTTCCCCAGCACCCTCTCTGCGTGACTCTTGGGGACGCGGGAATTCTGGGCCCAGCCCCGCTCTCCATTGGGACTGGTGCCTGAGGTGCCACCAGTTCCAGCCTCGAGCTTTTCCTGGCCTTCCCCACCCTCCGCACTGCCCAGTTTGTGAAGCGGGTGTTTTCACAGTTCTGCTAGCCACCCTGATGCTCTCACTTGGCGCTGAGGAGGTTGCACCTCAGCCCCTCCTGTGTCCCTCTGAAGGTTGGGGCAGAGGGATGGCGTTTGCAGGGCGGGGAACTCAGTGCCTTCAGCAAGATGAGGAGCTGGCTGGCCTGGGAAGGGACATTCAGTGTCGATCACCTTGGAGGCAACTTTTACAGTCCTCACAGTCCTAGAGATAGAAACTTCATGTGTCCTGGAGCTGAGTTGTCATTTGCCATTCCCTCTTCCCTAGCTCTGCCTTCAGGGGAGAGAGGATAGCTCTGTGTCCCCTTAGGCTCTATTGTTCCTCGGGGGAGACAGGGGCAGCAGCAGGGGCAGGACTTTGGGGGTAGTTAGCCCCCTGTTTCCTAAAACACCCCACAAAAACATGCAATTTAAGAATAAACTGTGTATACTATGCAAGTGTAGCTTCACGGTGAGCCCCAGGCCTTCCAGATCACAGATCATAGATAATAAACCCTTCCTATATAGAAAGCAGATATTCATAGAGCATATAACATATTTTTGTAATAGAAAGTAATAGCTATCATTTGATGAGCCCCTAAATACCGAGCTATATGTTGTGTGCATCATCTCATTTAATGCCTACTAAAATCTTATGAGGCATAGATTTTTGTCCCCACTGTAGAGATGAAGAGACTGAGGCTAAAAGCAATCCTGCAATGTTGCTGGGAGTTGGCCCCATTTTATAGAGGGGCTCAGAGAGGTTAAGTAACTTGCCCAGGGTCACAAGCCTATCCAGGCATGTCAGAGCCTGTGACTTCACCCTTACAAGGCTGACTTCATTTTCTACAGGAGCCCAAAATTGTTTATTAAACCAGCCTATGAGGATACAGATCTAAGCAGGCATGGGGGGGATACTGATTGAGTTGGCTTGTCTTTGCTCCCAGGTTGTCAGTGGGTAGCCAAATGTAGTCACTAATGACTATGCAGCTTTTATCAGGGATGGTTCCACTTCCCTGGTGAGCATTTGGGAAAGTGTGGGGGCAACTTGGTTGTCAAAATGTTGAGCACTCCTGATTTTGGTGGGCAGGAGCCACGCATGCCAAATATCCTGCAGGCAGGCCAGATGTATGGCAATCACGAAGAACTGCCCTGCCTTAAATGCTAGGACAGCTCTGTTGAGAAATACCAGGTGAAATGTTTGGTGGTAATGAAGAAGCAGGTGGCAGTGGAGATTCGGGAGAAATCCCTTCTGGCTGGTGTGACGCCAGGAGGTGCCTGAAGGAGGTGTCATTTATGTTGAGCCTTGAAGGATGGACTAAAAACAGTGGAAATTAGATGGGAGCAGGAGGCGAGGGGGATAGGACAGGATGACCTAGCAAGGGAATCTTTCTGTAGTAACTTGGAGTTCCCTCATGAGAACCTTAACCTGGATCCAAGATGCACTGGTAGAGGAAGGGATAGATGGGCTGGTGGGGCAGACCAAGCCTGTTTTCAAGGCACTTTGGCTCAGATTTTAACGTGGGCCACAGAGTCTTCCTTACCCCACCATGAACCCATTTTATGGAAGTGTTGCAAGAGGCTAAGTAACTTGCTCAGGGTCACTTAGGACCTTCCTGGCATGCCTTCTTTTGGTAGCTGTGGGAAGCATATGGTTCCCATTTCTTTTCCCGGTCCTGGAGATTTGGAGCAAATGCTATTTCAGGTTTTCCTTTGGGTCAGAGGGCCTTGTATTGCTATTTTTTGCAGAATGTTTTGCTTTCCCAATAGCTCCTCCCCTTTGGGGTAGAGAACCCAGATGTGGGGTTCAGGCAGGCCTGTCTCCATGACATTGCACTGGTCTTCACCCTCACTTCTGTGCCTTTCCTGGAATTTGAGAAAATTACATTTCCCTTTTGGACATTTCTTCTTTCAGGCTATGCTGCTACCTTACTGACTTGTTAATGATATGTGACCTTTTGTGTCTTGCTGCTTGCATTGAACATGTATTTTCGAAGTTCATCCATGTTGTAGATTATCCCAGTGCTTCCTTTCTATGGCTGAGTAATATTCCCTTGTATGGATGGGCCACATATTGTTTATCCATTCATCTGTTGGTGGACATTTGGGTTATTTTCACCATAAGGGCTTCATAAGGCCACTTTGTTCATTCCTGTGCACCTGCAGTGCACCTGCAGTCCCCAATTAATAACCCTATGGGCATTAGAAATTGTTTTGTCACTCCATTTGCTGGAGAGGGTGAGGAAAGGAAGGCTCTTTGAAATAAATTTGGGACCTGCTTCCAGGAACAAGGACTTGCTTAATTTCATCCCCATCAGCTCCTCCACAAGAATCTAGCTCCAATCGTCTCTAGGGTCACTCTGCACGATTTTCAGGAAGAGTATGGATTTCATTCAGTTCCATTCTTTTCAGTCATGATGATTTGTTAAATGTAGGTCCCTGTATGATTTTATTGTTATACATGTTGTGAGACTTTTTCCAGGTAGGTTAACCCACAAAGTAGACAAAGCCAGACAGCTTGCACCCTTACCCCATGGCCAGGCATGGAGTCAGCACAGTCTCTTGACAGCCTTGCCGGGAATGCCTGCCAGGGACATAGAAATCAAGCAGCTTGAAAACTGGCCTGGAAGGAAGCTCAGAAAAAAATAGCCCCTTAACCCCTGTGTCCCCCATGTGGGGAAGATGGAGCGCAGAGAGGAAGGGAGAGAACGGGCCTTTTGGAGCATTAACTATAAGCCAGGCTGTGTGCTGGGCACTCTCACAAAGAAGATCAACTCTACAGCCCTGTAGAGCAGCTGTGGTGGCTCCATTTTACAGATGAGAACATCAAGGCTTAGGTCCCCTGGTCTGCATAGTTTCCTGACCTACCTTCTAATCCTGAGCTCTTCTGTCTCCCTTGGCTTTCTCCTGCTGACAAATGATGCCCTTTTTCTCATGGAGTGGAATCCACATTCTCTAGGAGGTTATGGCATAGGATGATTTCTGAATGGTTTTGTTCTCTGAAAAATAAGAGTTCAAATGATTACTTTTTCTTTCTTCTCTGATTGGATCCTTTCCTCAACAAAACCAAAAAAAGGGCATATTTAAAAGGAGGTGAGTGGTGGTAGATTGCTTCTGGAAGACCTTGGCTCCAACATTCCCTGCTGGAGGGTGTCAGTGACCAAAATGGGGAAGAGATTATTTTAGATGCCACTGTTTTCAGTTTCCATCGTGTTTGTAGTGGTGCTGCTGAGATTTTTTTCTTCAATTATGAAACATTTTAGGCCTAAAGAAAAGCCAAAGTTTTGTTTTGTTTTTTTGATTGGCTTGTGTTTCTAGAAGGCTGGAAGGAGGCCCAGGAGGTGATGGAGATAGAGCAGAGCAGGGCGCTGTGTGTTACTTAGTGCTGGATCTGGAAGTCTGAGGATCTTTCACTGAACCCACACTTTTTTCGGGGGGTGACAGACCCTGCTTTGGGAACTGAGGAATGCTGAGACTTGGTCCCTGTCTCCAAGGAGCTCCCAGGTGAGTGGCCTGTGAAGTACTGGGGAGCACTTTGGAAGAGATAAACAGTTACAGCATTTGTCCCTTTTGAAAAGGAAAGGAAGAAAATTTCAAGAGTCTGTTTTACCCCTACTCCCACCCCATCCAAAAGCTGCTGAGTAACTATTTTTATGTTGTCTCTTTTTATCCCATTGGCTTCTGTAAATAGCCATGAGGGATGGCAGTTGCAGAGATAAAATACTCATTCCAGCCTGAAGAGGAGAGCAGGATAGTCTTTAAGGAAATGTTAGGGTCTTGCCCCTTTGCCCATATGCTTGGGTAGGAGGTAGAGAGTGAGTGGGCGGGGGAGGGGTTGGTGCCTGAGATAAGCCTCTGTTGGAGAAGTTTAAATGGGGAACCAGTGGTTTGGGTGGGGTGCAGGGTGTGGAGAGGAGGGCTCGTCCCTTATGGGTTTTTAATGGTGCATTGGGATTTTGTGTTTGAGGCCTCTGGTAAGAAGAGATTTTATATTCATCCCAAACAGTCCTGCCTTCTGGGTCCAGGTGTAGGGAACAGGGTTGGATCTGAAGAGGTGGCTGCCAGCCCCTCTATGCCCCTGGCTTGGGTTGCTTTCTGCCGGAGGCTGGGGGCAGGGAGCTGGATTTAGCATCACCTCCAAAGGCAGGCAAGAGGGACAGAGGAAGGCTGTGGGTGGGCTAGGCATGGATGCCTGTGGATTCTGAGGTGGCCTCCTCTATCTCTGATTTGCCAAGCTGCAGTATGTTGAAGTCAAAGTCCTTGTCTTTTCATTACAAACTGAAATTCCTGTTGTTTCTCTGTCTCTTCCTTCAGTTCAGTGACAGACTGGGAGGTATTCAGTGGGAGAAGAGGAAAGAAGTTGGTTCCTAACTCTCTGTTCCAAGCCCCCTGCACTCCCCCAGCACCCACTCCATACCCACCCACATTCACACATCTCTTCAGGGTTGGGCCACCAGTGCACACCTGGCTTTCGATACCGGGCTGCATGATTGGGGCGGCTGTCTTTGTGACACCTCACTTTTGGCCAAAAGACAGTTGCCTAGGAACTCTTAAGACAGTTGAGCTTCTTGCTCTGTGAGTGTCCAGGGCCACAGGGGACCTGTG